TGGGGGGGGGTCGCGGCGTCCCCAAGGTGTCCCCAAGGTGTCCCCAAGTGTCCCCACGTGTCCCCCCGCTCACCATGCCCGTCTCGGAGGTGAAGATGACGATCTCGTAGAGCGGCGCCAGTTGCTGGAAGAGGCTCTCGATGCCCGGGCGCTTCTTGAAGCGCCAGCCGGTGACGAGCTGGGGACAAGGGACGGGATGGCACCGTGGGTGGGGGTCGTGTCACCCCGCCCGGGCCTTGGGGACACCTTGGGGACACTCACCGACCACTCGGGGTGCAGCAGGACGCCCGTGAGCTCGATGACCAGCGTGTAGGGCGGCTGGTAATAGGGCTCGCGCAGGGGGTCGGGCAGCAGCCGGGCGCTCGTGGGCTCGATGATCATCTGGAGGGGACAGGGACACGCTGGGGACACGGGGACACCCTGGGGACACCGTGGGGACACCCTGGGGACACCCGTCCCACTGTGGGGACTGATTTGGGACGTGCTCGTGGGCTCGATGATCATCTACGAGGGGACAGGGGCACCCTGGGGACACGGGGACACCCTGGGGACACCTATCCCATTGCAGGGATGGATTGGGGACACACTAGTGGGCTCAATGATCATCTGCGAGGGGACAGGGGCACCCTGGGGACACCCTGGGGATACAGGGACAACCTGGGGACACCCATCCCATCACAGGGTTGGATTGGGGACGAGCCCCCAGGGTGGGGACAAAGCCTGGGCGCTGGGGACACCATTTCCACCGGGAGAGGAAGGTCCCTGGTGGGGACAACCGCGGTGGCAGGGACAGATCCCGAGCGGGTGACGCGGCCCCATGTTGGGGACACAGTCCCACATTGGGGACACGGTCCCACCTTGGGGACACGGCCCCCAGCACAGGGCGGGGGGCACAAATCCCGAGAGAGAGGGACAAGACACCGCTGGGGGGAGGTGACAATGTCCCCCAGGAGGTGACAAAGGCCCCAGGGAGGTGACAAAGGACCCGGGGAGGGGAAAAAGGCCCCCGGGGAGGTGACA